GCTCTTCCCTCGCACCTCCTTCACCCTCTCCCCTGAAACTACTCACGGTTTGCTTCCGGCCCTCCCCACCAGCTTACACCAACAACCAAGCAGACATCGCCACCCAGGGCTGGTTCATCGGGCTGATGTGCGCCATCGCCCTGCTGGTGCTGATCCTGCTCATCGTCTGTTTCATCAAGAGGAGTCGCGGCGGCAAGTACCCAGGTGAGACGGGAGCGGCCTGGGGGCGAGGCAAGCGGGCCTCCCATGAGCCACCAGGTGCCCATCCAGACCTGGGGGACTGCTCTCGGGGCTCAGCCCTTGCCAAGCCTGGAAACAGCCCTCTTGCCTGCTCAGTGCTCTCAGAGCTGCCAGCCTGCACTTGAGTTAATTAAGCTAGCCAGAGGTGGGCGGATGGAGCCGTCCGGCTGGCTCCGGAGAGGGGATGGAAGGAACCCTGGCTCCTATTAAGGATAACCTCCCCTCCCTGACTCACCTCCCATCTGCTCAGTAAATTGCCTTTTTTTTTTTTTTTTTTTTTTTTTTAGCCTGAATCTCATTAGAATCCTGTGCCCCAGAGAAGGAGGAAGAGAGGCATTTTCTCTAACTACATCAGAGAGAGTGGGAAGGGAGGGAGAGTCCACATAGAAGCAGCACACCTGTAAGAGAGGCCACAGAGGTGTCTCTGAGGGGACAAGGGTGTCATGGCAGGTTCTGTTGGCAGGCCAAGAAGCTCTGCTATGAGTTGCAGGGAGCAGATGAGGGGTAGGGTACACTGGCAGGGACCTCCACAGCCTTTAGTCTTGGGTCCCTAGAGTTCCAAAGAGGCATTTCTCTTCTCTGGGCCTCAAGATCCTCCAGCCCAGACTCACCAAGGTCAGGAAGAAGGACCTCTGGCGTTCTTGTTTCTGGAAATATTGATTGTTTTCCAAACAAGAGCAAGAAAGCCATCTGTCTGCCATAGGGTGGATAATAGATACCTCCGAGAGTGAACATCCCATTGGACTGCAGTGAAAATTGCTCCCTGCTCCCAACACCCCATCACCAAACACACCCCACGTTCCCCAGATGCTTCCTTTTCTCCGTCTCTGTGAGCAGGTCCTCCCTCGGGGTCCCCCTGAAACTCAGCACAGAGGCAGAAGGGAGAAGAGAGTCTGATTTATTTCCTCCCCCTGCCCCGTACTCACAGGGGTTCTGAAGAGTTATGCTCTGCTTACGTGGGAGGGCGAGGAATCGTCACCCTCTACTGGGGAGCGAGGTTCTCTTTCACTTTGCCTTGCTGAGTTGGAATAATTTCTTCTGTAAGAGAGACAGCCACGGTTAGGGAGAAGCCTGGTCTTCCATCTGACATGAGACTTGGGTGGGCTTGCGGAGTTCACCCGTCTGTCCCAGGTGGAGCTGGGACACCTGAAGAACTCTATAAGAGACACTCTGAGCTTTTCTTTGTCTACTCAGAAAATTCCCATTCCAAAAAGTTCTTCAAAGCTGGCCTTCCCTCCAGCCGCCAGTTAAGACCCCTGTACATTAAAACAATGAGTGAACAGGAGCCACGAGCCCTGGGCTGTCGCCGTAGTCTTTTCTCAGTTACTAACTCATCACATGGCATGTGCTTCGCCCTCAAAGCCCCAGTTCCTCTCATCTAAGATGGGATTACCGTGTACCTCCGAAAGGATGCATAAAGAGGCCTTTTTGTAATGCCTGCTGCATGCCAGGCTCCGTGCAGGGCACTGGGGACACTAGAGGGAAAGTGCTTTCTCCTCCAGGACATTGCAGCTGCCACCAAAGTCACGGCCACCACACGAGATGGCCTGGGCTGGGTGTTCGCATATCACAGAGGTGGGACAGGGAAGGGGATACGCCTCAAGTGTGGGCCCAGGTACGAGGGCACTTTCCGTCCTGTAGTTGTGTACAGAGTGGTCACTCAGTGGGGACCTTTGTAGAAACACAGCCCCTGCCCTTGAGGAAGAGCTGGCATTCTGCTGTGGACATACGAAATGTGCACCATTACACGGCGGAAAGAGGGAGGTCAAACGAAGGAGTGTTTGCCTTGGGCAACGGGAAGGATCTCATCTCTTTGATGTTTTGAGAAGTCTGGGGTGGGGAACTTGGCAGTTGTCAGTGGAGAAGGAAAGAGACCCCCTAGAGAGAGGAGAAGGAAGCAGGATCATTGTGGGAACTGACGAAGTGCAGGAAGCAAGAAAGGGGCGGATATGGATGGCGCCTTGTGGAAGCGGAGCTTATCACCAAGCCTAGGGCAGCATCTGCTGGGTCTCCATTCAGCTGAGCCTGGAGAGCAGAGACACACTTCTTAATTCTCAAGTCTTTGTCTTTTCTTCTCTTATTGACCAAGTACGAGAAAAGAAGGATGTTCCCCTTGGTCCAGAAGACCCCAAAGAAGAAGATGGCTCATTTGACTACAGGTGTGTGATCCTCTCCCTTCCCGAGCAGACTGTCCTCTCTGCCTCCCCCTGCCTCAGAGCAGCTTGGGTTGGCTGAGGGCACTCATGTCCTTGCCCACTGGGCTGTCACCTCTGTCTCTGACAGCGACTTGCAGAGGGCACATGCTGCCGAGTTTGCTCAAGGAGACCCCCCCCCACCTCCCTGAGACACTGTCTGACATACACACCTTCATCCAACCAATGGCATTTTTTTTTTAAATTTCAGTTGCCAAAGGGCATGTGCTCTTGTGGGAAGTGGAGGAGAGAAAGCAAACGCCCAGTGGGGCATGGTCACGTTGCAATCCCTTCTCCATTTTTCCGTCCCGTGGGAATTTGAGACACACACACACACATATGCCTGGTGTGCTTTTCAAGCCACTGGGGCTGGGATTTGCACCATGGTCAGCCAGGCAGGATCTAGCTTTCTTAATCACAAGGCAACAGGGCCAGCTCCAACCAATAGCATGTCATTCTCAACTGTGCAACTCAAAGTTGTTGAGGACCTTGTATGTTTCTTTCCACCCTTTTATCTGAACATAAGCCCTGAGCTTCTCTTACTGAGGAATGAGCTCAGCTCTCAGGCTTCTGCTCTGCCTGCGACCCACCCCTAACCCTGAAGAAGGCCCAGGGAGGCTGTATTGCCTTAAAGCCTTGAGGACATGGAAGGAAGGAACTCCAGGCCTTTTCCCCATGAACCTGGGCTCTTGGCTGAAATAGGCCTTGGAGAGGCATCTGTTCTAAGGCCCTGTGTCCCAGATGAGAGGGACAGAGGCCCAGAACGGGGAGAAACTTGCCCAAGTGCCCACACCCAAGAAGCTCAGGGCAGAAGTGAGAAGGCCGGGGGTGAGGCCTTTGCTGGTGCTGCTACTCCTTATCCTTATCTATGGTCCCTCAGCCCTGGACAGGCCTTTATATTTGGGCTCAACAAAATTGCTATCTGTCAATTTGAGGGCAAGTATATTTGAGCCCAGAAATGATGCAGATTGGGCCCTAGAGTATCATTGCAGATCAAGCAGGGTGGAAAGAAATATCTGATTAGAGCCCTCCTCCCCCACCCTTAACTGGCCATTGTTTAGGCCAAGGTCACTCCTGTCCTTCTCCTTATCCTGTCCTGGGCCTCTGCCACACTGCCCATCAGCAGCCTGGCAGGCAGGACAAGACGAATGGGTGGCAGAGCCACTGCCCACGTGGGAGCCTGTCTGGTGGCATATGGACCAGGACCGTCCATCTAGTCTACCAGTTGAAGGGCAAACACAGGAGGCCCCTCCCCATCTTCCCTGGCTGTCTTGGCTTCCCTGGCAGGGCCCAGCTTCCCTGTGGCTCTACAGTCTTTAGTTCCAAAGCCCATGGGGCCTTTTCTTCCCTAGACCCTCAGTGTGGTCAGCAAGGAGGGTGGAGGGTTTTCTCCAGCATGGGACCAGGCTGTCTGCCCTATGAAAAGCAGCTTCCTCCTGCACCTCTCCCCCCACTAGACACCAAAGCTAGTGGGCTAAATCACCTGCCCCCTCCCTGCAGACCTTGGGGCTGGATATACACGTATGCACACACACACGCACACACACACACAGGCACACAGGCACACACCTTTGCCTTGGTTGAATTCAAGAGTCTAAAACTGGGGAAAAGCCAAAATGAATGCATCAGAGGAAGAGCTAAGTTTCTAGGGGACACAGGCCGGGGGTGAGGAAGAGTGTAGCTCACCTTCCTCCATTCTGTGGCTGAGTCCCCGAACCACTGCTGTTAGCGATGAGCACGCACTGCCCACTTCCATAATGGCAGCTCAGCCCAGGACGGGCTGCGTGGGGCTGGGTGCAGGGGCAGCTGTGGTGTGTCTGCTCAGACTGCCTGGCACCGCTGTGGTCCCACCTGCAGGACCTAGACTCCTGTTGCCTCCTGCCCAGGAGCTGGTCTCACCTCTGAAGTGCAGCCGGCAGCATTTGGTCCCCCCTCTGAGCTGGAAAGGGCAGAGAGTTTTCCAGCTGGGGCAAGGGACGTGGTGCCTGGACAGATGCCAGCTCAGGGAGCCACTCTTCACTTTCTTAAGAGCATGGCAGACATCGCTGGGCAGATGCATCCCTAATCTGATACCCAAACTGCTCCAATCCAAAACCTTCTGAGTGCCAACAGGACACCACGAGTGGAAAATTCCACACTTCACCTTGTATGATGGGCTGCTGTCCAAATGCTGCAACACAAAAAATACTACATAAAATTACCCCCTGGCTCCGTGGATAAGTTGTATATGGAGCATAAATGTATTTCTTATTTAGACTTGGGCCCTATCCTGGAAATAGCTCATTATGTACATGTGGATATTACAAAATTCACACAATCCCAAATTGGAAACACTCTGGTCCCAGTGTATCTGGTTTCAGATAAGGAGAGATGCTCAACCTGTACTCGCTGGCCCAGAGCACGGCATCTGTTTGTAGCAAAACCAGAGCGACATCTAAGGGAAGCAACCCCAAGACAGGGACATGGACAGACCAGGAGAGGGCTGTCCCTCTAAGGCCTTGGCTTTTGTTTCCCAGGGGCAGAGACTTTCCCTGCAGAGTCTCAGGTCACAGAAGGTCAAAGCTGGTTGAACAGGGTTGGGTCCCAAAGCCACACAGTGACACTGGGCATGGGGGCTCCCCGCCCTGACTCTTACCTTCCCATGTGGAGTGGCTCAGGTTTACAGAAAGGACCCCAGGCCAAGATCCAGACAAACATGCCACTTCACCTTGGAACAGACACTTGTCCCCTCTAGGCCTCAGTTTCCCTTTTGTAGAACCTGCTGGGAGGGTGAGGGAGGGCTGGACCGAGTGATCTCCCAGACTCGTCCTCCCAGAGCTGTGTAGGTTGGTGCTTTGGGCTACGCCGGGCTGGGCCGGCCTGATTCTCCGCTCTCTTTGGCCAGCGATGAAGACAACAAGCCACTGCAGGGCAGCCAGACGTCCCTGGATGGCACCATCAAGCAGCAGGAGAGCGACGACAGCTTGGTGGACTACGGCGAGGGCGGCGAGGGCCAGTTCAACGAAGACGGCTCCTTCATCGGCCAGTACACAGTCAAAAAGGACAAGGAGGAAACCGAGGGCAACGAGAGCTCAGAGGCCACGTCACCCGTCAACGCCATCTATTCTCTGGCCTAACGGAGCCCACTGGGCACAGCCGCTACTTTGCAAGTGGGAGGAGGGGAGAGGGGGAGAGAACCGCTGCAGACCTACGAAGCCGCCACCACCTTCAGGGACAAGGGCACAGCATGGGCGTCTGCCAGGCTGTGAGGACCAGCGACTACCCAGCCACCCACAAGCCCCCTCCCGATGACCCCCTGCACCTCCAGGTGCCACCAGTGTGGGAGAGCTTAGAGCCATGGCCAGGCCCAGCTGGAGGGATCAGTGCCCGCCCAGTCTCACGGCCACATGGGCTCGCCACCACACTGCCTGCCTTGGCCAAGGCACACACACGCCCATCTCTGCTGGTTACGGCACTTTTCGTTGTTTTTGTTCTCGCTCTGTGCACTTCCCCTCCAGACCCTATGTCTCCATTGTCTTCTTTTGAAGAAGGAAAAGCAAGCATAGGTGGATTCCCCCAGGGAACCACAAAGCTAGGCAAAAGGGACCATGAGAGACCACGTAGAAGAGCTGTGTTCACGCCGCCGCTGGCCTGTTTCTGAAGGATGCCGATCTCGCCATATGCCTCCCCTCACTCCCAGCCCGTCGCCTTGGCCTGGCAGTTGCTGAGCTGGGCTTGGCTCCTTCCTGAGAAGTGACAGTATTCAGGGCAGGGAGAGGGTGGGCAGGCCTCCTCGCCTCTCTGGTCCGGTTGGGAGGTGAGTTCCCTCTCGCTCCTCGCTCCAGCCCTGTCCCTTCCTCCGGGTTATCCGAGATGAGCTGCACCAGCTCTGAAGAAGTTCGTGAAGTGAGAGTGGGCGCCCGTGGCAAGGACTCCACTCCAGTGATGGTGCCGCAAGCAGAAAGGCAGGTGCCAGGTCCCTGGACCAAGCTCACCTCTAGGGAAGAGAAAGGCTGGCCTGGGCTTCCCTCCTCCCCATCAGTGAAGCTCCAGCTGGAGGGGGCTGTCCAGAGTAGAGGGTACCTGCCCACCTGGTCAGGATCTACGCTGCCACCCTCTAAGAGATGGGACCCCATGATGCAAAAGCCTGGCTGGTGTTTAGGGGTGCAGAGCACTCACCCCTCCCATCTCTAGCAGATTATGCCTCCTTTGTATGGCGCTGAGACTCGTGTTCGACCTGGTGTGCAGACGAGGACCTGCTGCCCTGAGACTGAGCCAGTCTGTCCTTTCATTCGGGTATATACATATCAGGGGACCCTGAGGTGGCACCGTGCTGGCAGGGCTGTGATGCTCCTGCCTGGGGAGGACACAGTGCTCTTCGTATGCCTTACGCAGCTCTGATCTGTCCCTGGAGTTCCCACGTTGCCAGCCCCTCCCTGCAAGCCTTGAAGCCTCCATGTCGTCTGTCTCCAGGAGAACGGGGCGGCCTATGCAAGTGTCCCGGCAGGACCAGAAGCAGCCACTCAACACATGCCCTAACCCCACTACCCAGAGGGAGGCGCTCGCAGCCGTCCTCAGACCGGAGGTGCTGCCTTCATCCTCCCCACCTAATCCATTTTGAAACCAAAGGTACATAGCCTCCGAGGCAGAGAGAGGGAGAGTTCTTGAGCCTAAGGGCAACCCTTCCACTGACTCTGCAGTGTGTGTCGGTTTTAAGAGGGTGAAGCTGACCCCCTGCAAACGGGTCACCTGCCACAGGCACGGCCTCCAATTTGGCCTCCAGCTCTGGCTGGGAGGCCTGAGCAGGACCAAGACTGTGTCTTTAGAGACTTCATCAAAGCATCATTTGCCACATGTTTAAGCCGCAAAGGTATTAGCAACGCTTGCATCACGGAGTGGTGATTCGGTGAAGGTCAGAGCCCCCAGACACACACTGTGTCTGCAGGTCAGAAACCACAGCCCAGAGCTGACCCAATAACGTTGGAATCTGAGAGTGAAAGGTCCTAAGGCCCAGGCTGCAGCTGGGTGTGCTGTGTGGAAGCCAAGGGGCGGCTCTCATAGTGAAAGGGCACAGGGTATACATCAGGGGGATGGGGAGAAGCCCAGGGGTAACAACCCACCCACCCCCCCAGCTTCCCTCTGACACCTGCTTGATGCAGCCCAGGCCCTAAGGGGATGTCAGGAAATTATGCCTGTGAGCCGAATTAAAGGGCCAGCCTTCCCAGAAAACACTTGGGATCTGAGCAGAGCAGTCAGTTTCTCAGGCACTCATTCCTACCGCACCGAACATGCTGGTGAGCTTATTGCACCGAAAAGATGCAGGAAGGGACAGTTTGGGGTCATTGCAGCCATCTCCCTGCCCCTGGAGCTGATGATTGGGACGAACTTGCTCTTTCTTAAGAGTCTTGGGGAGAGTGAGTCAGCAGACTGTCTTTGGGCCTCCTGCCAGTGTCCCACCAGGCCCCGTACCATCCTTCATGTATGAAGAGAACCCTCTTCCAGGCTGTTGCTCTGTGGGTGCTGAGAGCTGCCCCCTGCCACCATTTAATCACAGCCTTCTCGACCAGAGCAAATCTGGGGCTGAAGAGCCACGTTTTCCCCAAGCAGAGGTGCCAGGTGCTCAGAGATGAAACTTGGGGACCACAGGGTGAAGAGAGCAGTCCCTTCCAGGAGAGAGTTCATTCTCCACAGAGACAGGCCAGAGCCCACCCGTGCCCAGCAGGCGAGCAGTATTGGCCAGGACTCCCTGCCAGCTGGGCCTCTCAAGCTACCACCCAGAACATACCACTACTGATGCTAGGAGAGTGCAGTACCACTCGTGCTTCAGCCTGTCCGCTGGGAGGGAAGAGGTGTGTGTCATCTTGCAGTGAGCCCAGGCGTCCCACTGATAGCTGCAATCCCGGGAGCCTGTGTACTCCGCGTCTGAGCCATGGCTTCCTGCGCTCTCACATGTCCACTCACTTATTCAGCAAATAATCTTTGAACGTATGTCTGGAGCCCTGGATACCAGGACGAGGGAGTCAGATGTGTGTGGTTTCTGACTTTACCGGGTTGACAGTTTCTGGGACAAGTCTTGGGACACAGCAGCCATTGGTTTAGGAGTGTTTTGCTTTCCACTGCTTAAGCTGCTGATGGCTCCATGCTTGGAGGGAAAGGATTCTGAGGGAAAATTTGGTCTACCTGGGCAGAAAGGCTGGCCAGCAAGCCTGCAGGGTAGGGTCGAGTAGTGATCCTGTTCCCTGAGCCTTTTTTCTCTGCCCTCTGGGGCATGCTGCTTAACCTGTCTGCATTTTGGTGTCTCTGCCCCTCTTGTTTAAAACAGTCACAGGCCCATCTGAAAGGAGATCAGGGTTTTGGAAGTAACCAGTGCAGGACCAAGGGACAGCTATCTCCCACTCTGGCTTGATTATGGTGAATGGGACCCATCTTTCCTTCTCTTGCTTTTGAGAAGACCATTGAGTTTGAGCTAAAGGAAAAGCCAGACTAGCTCCCTCCCTGGCCCATCTTCTTCCTTTGCCCTGAGAGGTTGGAAACATCTGGTCTACCCCCTTCTGCCAAATCCTGGGGTGTGGAGAAGTGACCACATGTCCAAGCATCAGCCAGTGCTGACATGGCTTCCCCTGCAAGAAGTAGCTGCAACCTGGGCCCAGATCCTGTGTCCTGGTTCTCCTGACTGCAATCAGCCTTGGGAAGGGGGTAGAAACAGATTTGAGGATACTGGTAGATTTTCTCTAAGGGGACGCTTGCCTGCACACACAGACCACAGAGCAGTAGGCCAGCAAGAACACTGCCCCTGCTCACACCTTGGTACAGAGTGGCCCTGCCACCAATCACCACCCTGCTCACCCCTGCCAGGGCAAGCTCGTGGTGTAGTTGGTTGCACCCAGTTAGGTCCTCTAGAAAGAACTCACTTCATGATTCAGGCTCAGGAGTCCTTGACTTTTAAAGGAGAATGGAGAGGACTCAAACCAATAAAGTAAAGAGCTTGAAGTGCCAGGAGACCCAGTGCCCTGGGAGACATAGGCAAGTTGAGCAGAGGCCAACCCTCAGGGGGCCACCGTGTGAGTTCCAAGCAGACCTGTGGCTGTCCCTATCCTGTACAGCCCCAGCCAGGGCCGTGCCCTTTCTTTTCTTCCTCTGGTAAGAACAGATCTTCCCAGACACACTCAGAAGGATCAGAGAGAAACGAGAATAGCCATCCAGGAAACCATGAGACCCCACTCAGGCCACCCCCAAACAGTGCTCCTCTTATCGGCATGTTAGTATTACGTGGGTGTTTCAGAATGGTAAGGGTGGGAATGAAAAGGTACAAGGGCCTCTGTGTTAGGACAGGCTCAGCTTTCCGCTCTGAAGGAATCATAGCACTAGTTAGACAAGGAAATGGAAATCCGGGAAGCGGAGGGGAAGGGCCTTGCTCGAGACCACACAGCTGGTAAGTGAGGTAGGGTTGGGGCTTGAACTTCAGCCTTCTGACTCCTCGTCCAGTGTTTTCATCTCACCGCAGCTGCCTCCTTGGAAACAGAGGTATTACTTCCGATCTGTCCTGCTGGTTCCTCTCTCGTACCTCTATCACTTCTCCCACATCCCCTGTAGACCTTCCGACAAGAAGGACAAGAGGATCTTTCTGAGTCCGAGGTCAGTCCGTGACAGCCTGTGGTTAACCCAGCCTTGCAGTGAAAGGCAGACCCTGGCCGGTAGAATAGGATGACGAGCGGGTGTTTGTTACTGTGAAACCTAGACTGTACTCTTAGTGTGTCTTTTGCTTTGTAACACAGCGGGCCCTCCAATGCTGTCCTCCTCCACAGGGAGGGCGTAGAGGGGGTCCCTGTCCATTCTGCCCTTGGCCTTAGGGTGCTGAGGGGCAGCAGGGCCCACGCAAGCCTCCCCCCCC